TGCCAGCCACCCGTGAGGCAGGGACAGTCCCCTGCAGCGCCTGCCTCGGAGCCAGGGCTGCATGGTGAGCACCCCACCAGAATGAAGAGGCCGAGGCCCCCTCTAAAGCACAAAAACAGACGAACCCCGCTCCTGGGGTCCAGCTATGCGGAGGGAGTGGGTGCTGACGAAGACTGTGGGAGCAGCGAAGCGGAAAGAGTCTTTGTGACAATGACAATTTAGGGAACACTAGACAACCGGCCTGTGGGGTTTGTCTAAACCTTCTGAGGGGAGGTGAACCAGTGGAGCGGTCATGTGAAAAATTTTCTTTCCCCTCAAACGCAGCCATTCCCAGGCGGGGGTGAAGCCGCTTTCTTTTTTGTGGGAACCCTCGTTGCAACAGGCAGGCTTCCCCTCGGCTGGGAGAAACGCCTGGGTCTAGGAAGGAGTCGTATTTTGTAAACTTGGAGGACCGAGGGGCTATGTCACGTTGTTCACTGGGGACTTTTGGTTTCAAGGCGGACTCAAGTGTGTCCAATTTCCTAGAACATCATTAGACAGAGAAAGGGCTCAGTATGGCCAAGCCAGAGGTGGGGGACCTGGGGTGCGCGGCCTGGCATCCTGCCGGCCACACCCGCCCAGCATCCCTGCTCTTGGGGCAGCGTTGCCGTGTGGCAGGCCTCCAGCCCCGCTCCCTCGTCGGCAGGGGCTTCCTGGGGACTGTCTGGCAGCTGTCCCCCACCTGGGCCTCCGCACCTGGCCACCGTGCCCACCCTCCCCGACAGGCCTGCACGTGCCAGCAGGCCGACAGCAGAAACTGGAACAGCTCTGCGTGTGCCCGCAGACCAGCCCCAGGCAGCCGCCCCTCTGCCAGCATCCCACTGCCACCGGCTGGAGCATCGTCACTGTCACCGTCACCGACACCGCTGCAGCGGAGACAGCCCTGCCCAAGCCCGCAGTCTGGGGAGCAGAGATGCCAGGCGGTGCTGTTTCCACACAGGCAGCTCAGTTCTCGATACTTCTCTACAGCAGAAGGGGTGTGTTGTGGGGTCCTACCACAGGGGTCTCCAGCCGGAGGCTCGGGCGCAGCGGGAATGGGCCAGGCACTCGCTCAGCGTCATTGGGGTAGGAAAGCCTTGCTCGGGGCCAACCCTGGGTCTCTGTCCTGCTCCAGTTCTGATCTCTTTGGAGATCAGCCAAAGCTCCTTCAACTTGCTCTCGTCGCCTGTCCAGGGGGCAGCACTTATCAGGGTCACCTCCCCACCCCAGACATCCTACTTGCTTTTCTAAGGGAGGCAGGGAGCCCCGCAGGTGTGGCCTCTGGAAGGTTCATCCCCAGAAGCATCCCCACTGGGGCTGCTGTCTCCCACCCGAACTGGACGTGGCTGCTGCCAGATGCGTGAAAAACTCCGAGACCAAGATGAGGAAGTTGGTCATTTCTATTTGATTCAGAAAATGACTGTCCAATTACAGACCCCCTGAGAGGCCAGACTGCCTGACAATTCCCCTCCCACAGTTTTAAGGAGGAGACAATTCTGGCCGGAATGGGGGCAGGAGCGTCTGGGCCAGGCACTGGGAGCCCGGCAGACAAGGCAGACTCTGACCAAGGGAGGGATTTTGGACTTGGCTCAGAACGGGGCTAACCAAATGCCCTGGTGTGCCCACAATCATAGCTTATGCCCAGCCTCCAGGCTTCATTTCAATGGTGCCCCCTTTCACTCTCAAGAGTCCAGGTTTAGATGACACATTCTGCAATCACCCTGTTCCACAGGACAGAGGAGTTATGGCTAGAAACTAATGCAGGGAGGGGCACGAAGGACATGGGGCCTCAAGAACGTTAATTTGGAGGAGAGAGGCAAGTAGTTAGGGCCAGGCGGGTTCAATCTCAAGTATGTCTAGGATCGCAGGGATGCTGGCGATGTTCAGGCACAGACGTAGAGTGTGGATGCTGGAAGGGTCTCTGGAGTAATCAAATTCACTTTTTTCCCCCAGAGAGGACACTGGGCTAAAACAGAGAACAGGGACCTGTCCAAGGCCACACCTGGGTCCCGCAGTGTAGGGTCAGGTGCTGCCCCCGGTGAACAGGCCCAGATGCTCTGTTCTGGGACAGAGGAGAAGGGGTGATTGAACGATGCTGTGAAGGATGAATCGATGTCCTGGAGCCGGTGTGGCAGCCACAGGGCAGGGGAGAGTCACAGACTGAACCATGGCTCTGTGGCTC